TTGTGTTATTTTCCTGACAATTGTAAATGGGTATAATTTCTTTATTTCTCTTTATGTTAGCTCATTATTTGAGTATATAAATGCAACTGATTTGGAGGAATTTATTTTGTATCCTGCAACATTACTGAAGTTATTAACCAACTCTAGGAGATTTTTGATAATGTCTTTAATTTATATATATATATATATATAGTTTAATGTCATCTGCAAATAGAGACAGTTTGGCTTTATCTTTTCCAATCTGGATTCCCTTTATTTCTTTCTCTTGTCTGATTAGTCTGGCTAGTACGTCCAGTACTATACACTAATATAGTTAAAAAAAAAAACAAAACTCCCAACTAAAAAACAGGCAAAGTAGCTGAATAGGTATGTTTTACAGGAAAACATGCAAATGCCTAACAGGTAGATGAAAAAATGCTCAATATAACTAGTCATCATGGAAATGCAAATTAAAACTACATTGAGATACCACCTTACCTCAGTTAGACTGGCTATAATCAACTTGACAGTGAATAACAAAGACTGCAAGGGTGTAGAGAGAAGGACACACAACTGTATTGTTGGTGGGACTGTAAATAAGTACCACCACATGGGAAAACAGTATGGAGGATTCTCACACAAATACAGATAGATCTTCCATATGATACAGCAATCACCCTTCTTTGTATATACCCAGAGGAATGTGAATCATCATATTCTTGATCAGGGGAAGATAAAAATCCTTACAATGATTCGTGTGTCAGGAAAGAGAACAGGTCATGTTGACACCTGAGAAAATAAAGTTCTCAGTGAATGGAAACATCTTATCTGTAAATGAGGAAAGTTACTTCACTCTGTGATGCTGGAGTGAGAGTGTGAGAAAAGATAGTCACAAACAGCAAAGCAGAAAATGACCCTGAGGGGCATCTGAGAGTCAGCAGAGCAGAGGAAACCTCAGATCCCAAGAGGAAGCCCCCCATCCCCTCTCTGCACCTGCTCCATGGGGCACAGGAGCTGGGTGGCCTTGAGCGCCCCCTGCGGCCCAGAGTCCTCCTGTATCCTGAGAGAGGTTGGTGTTTGAGCTCACACCGACTTCCCCTCACTCTCCCTCGCACAGTAATATGTAGTCATGTCCTTGGAGGTCACAGAGCTCAGCTGCAGGGAGAAATCCAGCTTAGACATATCTCTGATGATGGAGATGAGGCTCTTGAGGGATTGGGCATAACTTGTGCTGTCACCAGAACTAATGTATCCCATTAACTCACACCCCTTCCCTGAGTGCTTGGGGATCCATCTCGAATCATAACCACTGGTGATGAGCAGAGACTGTGCAGGTGAGGGACAGGGTCCGCGAGGGCTTCACCAGTCCTGGGACTGACTCCTGCAGCGACACCTGAGACAGGACACCTGGGACAAGGAAAATATATCCCTGTAAATTGTGTGCAGTCACAACCATCCCACAGAAACATGTGTGTCATCTTAGACACTCACTTTGGGGAGCTGTCACCAGGCAAAGGAGAAGACCCCACAATCTCATGTTCTATTAGGCCTCAACTCTGCCTTCCCCAGAGACCTGAGCCCTGTCTGAGGACAGACCAGTGAGCTTCCAAAGCCCAAGTGTCTACATTTACCCTTGAGCTTGAAGGAAAATTGTCATGAGGGGAACTTTGTTCATATAAGTGATTATAAACTTAGGTGAGGCACATTGCCTGTATGTATTTTTTTTTTCTTTTACTTAAAATTATTTGACATACAATCATGGACTGGAAGATACCTTGGAGATTTTGATACATTCCAAAAGGTGTCCCCAACTTCCTTAGCCCAGATCTTCCTTCCTTCAACCCCTGCCTTCCATGCTGTCTTGCTGCAGCCCAAATCTCCTTCATAAACCCAGGCTCTTCCTCTCACGTCCCAGCACTGATCCCAGCACAACCCCTGCTTTCTTTCCCTGTACCTGCTCCTGTGATGTGGTTCTCATCACGCCTGAGAGTTTGTTACATTGTAACATTGTTGCTGTTCCATGAGTTTCTGGCCTGCCCATTGCTCTCCATCCTGTGATATATGACAGAGCACATCAGAACCCAGGGAGACTCTGCAAAAACTGGTGCCCTGTGCCTTACTCAGTACACTGATTTTCACTGTTTGGGAAAGACATAAAGACTCTTTTAAACAAAGAGTCTTTATGTCTTTCACAACGTGATTCCTTTCACAACGTGATTCCTGTGCATCCAAAGTGTAAACATTTCCAATATAATTCAGTTCTCATCCATATTTTATGTATATTAATCCTTCCTTTAATACTACAATTTCATTAGATATCCCAGCTTAAAAAAATCAATTACAATGGTCACCATGCAAACACAAAATGATATTGAATATAATTAATCAGCATGAAACTTTTAATAATATACTTTTCTTTGATGACCATGTGCTGGGGTCCACGATGGCCACACCATGACTGCAGTCACTGCCCAGCACAGAGAAAGAGGCCAGGGGCTGGGCTGGACACTGGGCTGAGTCACCCCCTGGGAGCTCCCTCGTAGTCCCAAGGGCAGGTCTATGTCACAGAGGGACAGCCCTTCATGACACATTAAACAGAAGAAGAGGGAATATTGAATTTCAGATGGACTATTTTTTTTCTTCTTTTGTAAAGACACTCAACATGAGCTCTACTCTATTTACACATTGTAAGTGCACAGAACAGTATTGGTCATGCTGGGCCCAGTGTTGGCGCTTGTTCCTCCTGTGGAACTGAAATTTTATACATGTTGAACTTTAATTTAAAGAGCCAGGCTGTGAGTGTGTATGTGGCATCCGTGCACATTTCCATTCACATCATTAATTATATGCTCTAACTTACATCAAAATAGCAAAAACGTAAGTTACATGTTGTCTTCAGAATGAAGGAGAACGGTGGGGTGTGCACTGGAGACTAACACGCTAAGCACATGTCACCTGTGTGTGTCAGTCTGTCTCTCTGAGAGAAGAGAAAAAAAGAATCCCCTCTCACTCCCCCAAGAGACTTGCTGTCTCCTCTAAGGGAGGGTAAAGGGAGAAGCACTTGGGAAGGTCCCACCAGGACACAGCTCACTAAAGGACAGAACTCATCATAGGACTGTGCACTGCTTCCCCTACCCCACACCTTACCCACATCTACACGGCTTCTGTATCATGACAGAGAAAAACTCTAACACCACATGAACCTTAGACACTACTTAAGAAGTGTCCATGAAAATGTAGTCCACAGAGGAGACAAAAACAAGGACATCAGGGGACATTTTATGGAGTCTGAGGCTTGTCTAGTCATCCTGTCAGGCTTGGGCTCCCAGACCCTTTAAACGTCTTGTCCAGACTGGGTCACAGACCTCTCCAACCCTTTATGCAGACACGGTTGTGGAACCCTCATATACAGACTGGGTCAGAGATACCTCATATGACACACAGGCTGCATCACAGATCCCTCAAAATCAGGTCATGAACCAGGTAATTGGAAAAGATCCTGGGAGCCATTGGCAAAAATGGTGGCCTTCATTCTGACGTGGGCTCAGCCCCAGCCCACACGGCAGCAGCAGCTTATAGAAGATCCCGCAGCAGCAGAGGCCTGGTGGCCTCCCACAAGGTGAGGGGGTGTCCAGGCGGGCAGTGTGGATCAGAACAGATTGTCCTTTTCACTTAAGTCAGATAAACAAGGAACACCTGGGGTCACATGCGCAATGACATCAAACAGCAAAGAAGCGGGGCGGGGGGGCAGACATGTGCAGTTAATGCGTTATGTTGCACAGCCTCAGTCAGGCTTGGCATGGTTCTGAACCCATTCATCTCATTTCATTTTCCTTGTATCATCCTGTATACATAGTCATTTGCAGGGACAAAGTTTTCAATGGATGAATCCAGCCTGTCCGTGTTTGTCCCCTAGATCACGCTGTTGTTCCACCTCCTCTACATGTGGAGTTTCCTCATTTCCTGAAACACATACGAGCCGTAGGTTCCCTGCTCTGCACCACAGTGACGTCTCTGCCTTCACGGCTCATCCTCATCACTGAGCCTCAGATCTGCACCTGCACAGGGAGAGTTGACAGGAAGTGAGCGGGGCTCTAGACCTGTGGAGCAGAGTGTGTGAGGACAGATCAGGTGAGAAATTACATGAGAGAAGACAGAGGGCGACACTAGGGTGAGTGTCTCTGGAATACGTGGGGGACAGCAGAGAGTGGGCAGGACTCAGGACTCTGTCAGCTGGTTCTCATTATCCACATGGATTCTCCCCATGGAAACTGAGAGTTAAGTCTTAGGTCACAGGTCACAAGGCTACACTGAGACACCGAGCCCAAAATTCAGCCCAGCAGGGCTCTGCTGGGTTTTTGTCTCTGTGCTTGTCACTCAGAATCTTCCACAAGGAAATATCAGAGCTGTGTGTGGCCCTCTCAGGCATCTGCTTCTCCATCCAGGACACTGAGGAATGGACAGAGAGAGGGATAAATACTGAGCAAAAGTGTCCACAGTGTGGATGAAAATCCAGAGGCTAAACTGCCTCATTGAGGATAGAGACGCCATGGGCAAGGTTCCTGTAGGATGATAATAGCCACGTGGGCGTAGCTGCACTTTATTTAGGGAAAAATGCTGATTTAGGGACCGGGTTCTCCTGGACTGATCTAAAGTCTCGGGAAAATAATACTAGATCCTAAAGATTTGTGTGTCAAGAAAAAAAACATGTCATGAGAAAACCTGAGAAAGAAAAGTCCCCAGTGAAAAGAACCTTCTCATCTGCACATGAGGAAAGTTATTTCACTTTGTGTTCCCTGCAGTGAGAACATGAGAAATTAGAGTCAAAAATAACAAAGCAGGAAATGACCCTGGGGGGCATCTGAGAGTCAGCAGAGCAGAGGAAAGTTCAGATCCCAAGAGGAACCCCCATCCCCTCTCTGCACCTGCTCCGTGGGGCACAGGAGCTGGGTGGGCCTTGAGTGCCCCCTGCAGCCTAGACCCCTCCTGTATCCTGCAGGGAGGTTTGTGTCTGGGCTCACGCTGACTTCCTGTCACTGTGTCTCTCGCACAGAAATACACGCCTGTGTCCTCAGTGTTCACAGAGCTCAGCTGCAGGGAGAACTGGTTCTTGGACGTGTCTCTGGTGATGGAGGTGCGGCTCTTGAGGGACGGATTATAACTTGTGCTGCCACCGGAAGTAATGTATCCCATCCACTCAAGCCCCTTCCCTGAGGGCTGGCGGATCCAGTTCCAACCATAACCGCTGGTTGTGATGGAGTCACCAGAGACGGTGCAGGTGAAGGAGAGGGTCTGCGAGGGCTTCACCAGTCCTGGGCCTGACTCCTGCAGCTGCACCTCGGACAGGACACCTGGAGACAAGGAGAATCAGAACCTGTCAGTCACATGCAGTCACAAAATTCCCATAATCCATGTCTGACATCTGAGACACTCACCTTGGGGAGCTGTCACTAGGCAAGGGAGAAGAGCCCACAATATCATCTTCAATTAGATCTCAACTCTGCCTTCCCCAGAGACCTGAGCCCTGTCTGAGGACAGACCTGTGAGCTTCCACCACCCCTGAGTCTACATTTACCCTGGAGCTTGAACGAAAATTTGCATGTTGGGGAGCTCTGTCCTTATAAGCGGTGAGGAACTGAGGTGGGTTCGATTGTATTTTTTGAAATGTTTATGTGTTACTTTCCTTGAAATTCTCTGACATGTATTTATGGTATGGGAGGAAACTTAGTGAGCTTCAACATGCCAAAATGTGTCCCCAGCTTTCTGATCCCAGATCTACCTTCCTTCTACCCTTGTGTTCTCTTGTTCTGACTTGGACCCAGCCCAGCTCTGCCACATGAACTCAGGCTCTGGGTCTTGCTTCTACAGTTCTGATCCCAGCACATCCGCTGCTTTCTTTCCCTGGACCCTCTCCTGTGATGTGGTTCTCATCACAACTGAGAACTTGTTACTTGTTATATTGTTGTTGTTACATGAGTTTCATGCCTGCCTTATGTTTTCCATCATGGCATATAAGATGCACCACATCAGAACCACAGAGACTCTGCAGAAAATGGTGCCCTGAGCATTACTGAGGTAACTGATCCTCAATGTTTGGGAATCAGCAAAATCTCAAATGCCTCCATTCCATGGTCATTCCTGTTTATCCAAACTTAAATTCATTTCTCACCCACATTTTGTCACCCACGTTTTATTGGATTTGAATCTTCATTTAATCGAACCATCTCATCAGATATCAAAAATAAAATCAATTACAATAGTTAGTGCATCACACCCTGTTTCTTTGTATCATAATTGTCCTGCAGGCCTCATACACGTGCTGATTTCTAACTTGGAATGAGTGTTGTGTTTTTTGGATAGATCTACTGTAAAAAATATTTTAAGATAATTATAGTATTGGAAATACATTCAGTAAGAGCCTCACACCACTGAAAAGAGAAAATATATTCATGAAAAAAATGTTCTCAGATGGAATGTCAGAAAAGTGGGAAAAGAACCAGCCAATAAAATTTTAATGTCCTTTGGCCGAGCCCATGGTGCACTCGGGAGAGTGCAGCGCTGGGAGTGCAATAGCGCTCCCGCCGCGGGTTCAGATGCTATATAGGGATGACCGGCATGCTCACAGCGCTCACTGGCTGAGCACGGTGCGGCCGGTCTCAAAAAAGATAAAAAAAAAAAAAGAAAAAAAAAAAGAAGGGAAATATTTGGGCCGGCCCGGTGGCGCACTGGAGAGTGTGCCGCTTGGGAGTGCGGCGTCGCTCCCGCCGAGGGTTCGGATCCCATGTGGAGACCGGTTCCCGCTCACTGGCCGAGCGTGGTGTGGGCGCAACACCGAGGGTTGCGATCCCGTTGCCGGTCCCCGGTACGGGCGCGACACTGAGGGTTGCGATCCCATCACCGGTCAGTAAAAAAAGACAAAAAGGAAAAAAAAAAATTAATGTCCTTTAAATAAATTAAAGAATGTTAAAAAAAACTATTATGTCATTAACAGTAATAATTAATATGACTAGTATTTTTAGTGAATCCCTAAGGAAAAAAAAATAAATAATAAAAAATAATAATAACAACAATAAATCACCAAACATCTATGTCATTCGAAACCAGCAGAAATTTGAACTGAGGAGATAATATATAAATCTCTATATATATGGAATCATCAATATAGAAGAAATAGAGAGATGAAGAAAATTATCAAGATGAAAAAAGAGGACAGATTTAAGAATAGACCTGTCAGGCAGAGAAGAAAGGGGAAGTATGGATCCAGAATAACCCTAGAGATCAAACAGTCACCCACCACAACACCTCAAAATGTGCCTGTAATTGGACTAAGTTTAAATAGACTGAAAGGTGAAAGAAGTGGCAAAATGGGAGTTTTCATTACAAAAAAGTGCATGCTTTTAGTAGTATTTGCTGTCCAACGTTTTAAGTACGTGAATACAAGATGGTTAGGAATGCAGTGCCAGAAATCCACAATCAAAATACCTGCCAGAGCAATGCTCATTTTAAAAATTAGATGTTATGACAAAGGCTTTATTGAAGTTTAATTATGTCTGAATATAACACTATAAACTGCACACTTTTGATTCTTGGTAACAAACCAATCACCATGTCATAGTTTGTGCCGTGTCTTCCTATCAGACTTTCCCATACAGGATAATCCAGTTCAAATTCAAATGTAACAGGGTCTTGAGGAAATTAGTAAATGTTAACTAAAATACTCTGAATCACTTTCAAATTCCCCTTTAAATACAAAAGTGAGTGTGACACTGGTTGATTTACTATTTGCATAATATGTTGTCAGCCCTTTGAAGTTCACATCTGATCTGCATGATAATTTTTGAGACTGTGACTGTACGTAAAGTAAAGCCACAAGTAATTGTTTTAAAATGTTTCCACTAATAATCATACTAAGTTGAAATATAGAAACACATCTGCTGATGTGTGTCCAGGGTCCAAATTAGAAAACTCAGTTCATTTGCTAATGCGATTTAGTAATTTTCCCCTAAAAGTGTTTTCAGAGGAACATGTCTATCTCCATCCTGCTTCCGGTCTGTTTCCAAACTTAAGGGCTCTGATATTTGGCTGTATATGTGTCCTCTGGTCATTGAGTCACAAGGGTTGATGGTTCTGACCACACTACTCAGCCCATTCCCTGAGTGTTGTCTGACCCCAGCCTCCCACAACCTTGTCCACCTCAGTGCTCTGCAGCTGGTGGTGCTGTCTGCATGTCCTCTGATATAAGGTGTGTGAGTTGTGAGAGGTGTCCTGGGGTCAGCAGCTGCTGTGTCCTCACAGATAATCTGTGCTTTCAAGAGAACTGCTTGCATTCTGTAGGTTGTCTTTCTGCTGTGTTGATAGTTTCTTTTGATGTGCAGAAGCTTTTGTAAATGATATAATACCATTTGTATGTTTTTTTTTGTTGTTGATTGTTCTTTTCAGATCTTATTCACTAAGTCTTTGCCTAGACTTCTAACAAGGGATTAATATACAGAATACATAAGTTTGTCAAACACCTATAGAGTAAAAAAAAACAAAAGAAACAAATAATCAAATTGAAATATGTGCAATGGAGATGAACAGACATTTTTCAAAGGAAAATATGCAAATGGAAAACATATAAATGAAAAAATGTTCAGCATCATTAATCATAAGGAAAATACAAATCAAAACC